CGTCGTGATTGTGTGCGGCCGCCGGGCACCTTACACCGGCGCCCACAACTTCCCCACAAGGTCACAGCTGCCGCCCCGAGGCCGTGCCTCGGTGGCCTTGTGGGAAATCCGGGCCTGGGAGCAGCACATTAGATGACTGCTATGAGCGAGCAGATGACTTGTACCGAACAAGCATCACCTGCTGAAGAAGACGATACCAAGATCATAGAGTCAGGGAGAGTTATGACCCCGTCAGCTTTGTATTATTATTTATTTTTTGCCATTTTGTATCACCCTGGGGAGACTTCCCTTCACTTCCTGTCTCATAGCCACAACAGGAAGTGAGAGGAAATCCCCCCCAAAGAGAGAGAAATCCCTGGCGGTCACCAGAACTAGTGTCCCCCTATTGGAAGATCTCCCATCTATTCCTGTTTCGGTGACAACCCAAAATGTGGGATTTTCTTTCACTTTCAGTGATAACATTCACCAGGACAGATATAGAGGGTGAATCTCCCTAATGGGGACACAGGCAGCAATAAAAACCCAACGGGTGTTCTAATCCCTCCACCCCAGAACTAAAAAAAAAAGTTTGGGCTTCAGTTGCACTTTGATGCGACCTGGCAGGAAGTGACTCCGGCAGAAACACAGAAGGAATTATTTGCATCACAAAAGTTGTGTTTTTGAAAGTTTTTCCTCCTTTTTACGCTCCATTTGTAGATTCGGATATTTCAGTCTTGACTTGTTCTGTATTTTTTTTTAGGTCCGTTCCCCCCCCCCCCAGATCTAATGCGCTCTCTTCATTATGTAAATGTCATTTAGCACAAGACAGATGATTCACCCGCTGTGGAGAGCTGCGTCCTGCACTACACACACATGTCCAGCAGATGGCGCCATGTGACTCCGGCCACAGCAAGCATGGGATCCATATGATGTAGTGGTGGGATTTGTACTTTATCCCATTTCATCCATTGTGGATAGAAGAGACTCCTGTACATGTCACTGCTCCTTCTGCTCCTTCTGTATATAGAATGTCACCGTTTTTCTATGACTCTGGGATTTCCACAGCATAATATAAGCATTATTCTGATGTGTGATATAAGGGGGAGGGAGGGTGTGTGTGTGTTTGTGTATGCATACAGTATATATATATATATATATATACCGTGTTTCCCCGAAAATAAGACACTGTCTTATATTTTTTTTGGCTCAAAAAAACACACTAGGTCTTATTTTCGGGGTAGGTCTTATTTTTTTAATGTACAACGATCCACACTTATTCATGTACACAAATATGGTGATCAGGGCAATCAGGGGTGCCGTGCCTTTGCTAGAGCAATTTGGTAACCAATCGCTGGCCAGAATGAGCGAAGCGCGCTTTCACTATGGATTCCTCACAGGCGGAGGGCATTTGGTATCACTCCGCCTGTGACAGGAGCCGGCGCTATAGAGGAGGCATCGGCTTATGCGGCTTTGCTCCCTCCGCTGCCTCCTCGCTTCCTCTAGCGCTGGCTTCGTTGGCACCGCTGATTCTCTCTCGCGGCTCTTCAAGTTCCCCCCTTATGCCACCACCGGCCCTGGGAATGGTCACAACTAGGTCTTATTTTCGGGGTAGGTCTTATATTTTAGCAATTCCCAAAAATAGTACCAGGTCTTATTTTCAGGGTAGGTCTTATTTTAGGGGAAACAGGGTATATAATTTATTGATTTATTATAACCTCTCTCCTTCCATCTCACTCTCCCAGCCTCTGTCTCACTTGCTCTTCCTGTCTCTTCTCCCTCCCTTTCCATCTTGATTTTTCTCTAGAAGGGATGAGGCCTGGGACATTATCGGGGTAAATGAGAGGGATGAAAGCTGAGTCTAGGAAACCTGATAGAGATGATGAGAGCTGAGTCCAGGAACATCATCAGCGGAATGGGATGAGAGCTGGGTCTAGAAACATTATCAGGGGTAAGGGATGAGAGCAGAGTCTGGGAACATTACCAAGAATAAAAGATAGGGATAAGACCTGGGTTCCCAGACCCAGCTCTCATCCCTTACCCCTAATAATGGTCCTGGACCAAGCTTTCATCCCTTACCCCTGATAATGTTCCCGGACCCAGCTTCCATCCCTTACCCCTAATAATGGTCCTGGACCCTGCTCTCATCCCTTGAGAGCTTGGTCCAGGAACATTATCAGGGGTAAGGGATGAGAGCTTGGTCCAGGAACATTAATAGGTGTAAGGGATGAGAGCTGGGTCCAGGAACATTATCAGGGGTAAGGGGTGAGAGCTTGGTCCAGGAACATTATCAGGGGTAAGGGATGAAAGCTTGGTCCAGGAACATTATCAGGGGTAAGGGATGAGAGCAGGGTCCAGGAACATTATCAGGGGTAAGGGAAGGGAGCTTGGTCCAGGAACATTATCAGGGGTAAGGGATGAGAGCTTGGTCCAGGAACATTATCAGGGGTAAGGGATGAGAGCTTAGTCCAGGAACATTATCAGGGGTAAGAGATGGGAGCTTGGTCCAGGAACATTATCAGGGGTAAGGGATGAGAGCAGGGTCCAGGAACATTATCAGGGGTAAGGGAAGGGAGCTTGGTCCAGGAACATTATCAGGGGTAAGGGAGGAGAGCTGGGTCCAGGAACATTATCAGGGGTAAGGGATGAGAGCTTAGTCCAGGAACATTATCAGGGGTAAGAGATGGGAGCTTGGTCCAGGAACATTATCAGGGGTAAGGGATGAGAGCTTGGTCCAGGAACATTATCAGGGGTAAGGGATGAGAGCAGGGTCCAGGAACATTATCAGGGGTAAGGGAAGGGAGCTTGGTCCAGGAACATTATCAGGGGTAAGGGATCTCATGCTCAGTTGTAGTTGCCATGTTCAGGTCTTTTTGTAAAGCATTACATTAGGTTATATATGTTTTTTTAAACTGTAACATATTGCACTCCTTAACTTCATTTGCTGTAGCCTGGATTGTCAGGCGGAGGGGCAGGAGAAGTACGGGGGCAAGAACTGGCTCTTCTGAGGGCAGGAAGGAGAAAAGCCAATAGGGAAGGGGGCAGATGTGTGAGAGCCAATAGGAGCGGGAGGCGGGTGCTCCCAGGTGAGAGCGGGAGCGCCCAGTCATCCATATACAATTCTGCATCTTCTTATTACTCTCATTCTGGAAGTATACAAAGGTCAAAGGTCATTTTTGTACTTCGATCTTCTGTATCGGTTCAGGATGTCCCATCCCTTGAGATCCGCCGCGTCTACATCTGGGTGCCGGCGACAGTCGTAATATTTTTTCCCCCTCAAATGTCACGAACGAACAAAACGAATAAGAATCGAATAAGAACAGAAAACAAAACGAACATTCGACCTACCGCTACCGAATTTCGTCCGAATCCGAATTCCGAATCCGAATTGACTTTCACACCCGAATCCCGAAAAAGGAAATAACACAAATCCGAATTTAAAACGAAACGAAACTAAACGAATTTTTTGGCAGTGCACATGTCTAGAAATCACTCATCTCATAGTTCTCCTTTAAGTGAGCGTCTCCTCTCCTCCCATCGCAGGAGATCACAGCGGCCGCCTGCAGAGCATCATTAACTTGAGAAAAGAACATTATCGTCTCCACTTGTTCCCGTGGAACTCGCTCACCGCTCATTGCAAAACACCTCACCTCCAACTGCAGATCCCCGCGCACTGCAGGACCGCATGCAACCACGCCAAGGCAGCCTATTGTGCACTGACA